ACATTCAGCCTCGCGTGCTAAAGACTGTGGAGGTGTCGTGAAATTGGCTACATCCTATTTATGCGAACTCAGGGCCGCGTACATTCCCAAGGCTATAAAGGTCGTCAGGGTTGCGTTCGTCTCGAAGGCCAGCTATCATGCTTCCCCTGAGGTCCTCAGGCCTATCAATCTGTCTCATGTTCTCATAAAAACTTTGGATAGGCTGATTGGCCTGCATATAAGAAACCGGATTCCCCGTGACTGCCTTCGAGAGCTGCACATGCCTATTGCAAGGGACTGTTGGTATTTCTTAATATTAAACGAACAATTCTTGTATATATATCGGCTCGTAACCATTTTGATGAAAATTTGTACACAGATAATGTTTTGGATTTTAAGGTTATCTGAATAGCCTCTGTCACCGATAAGACTTGTATATGGTTGCCTTCTATTCGAAATAAGTTACAAATTAATTAAAACATCAGAATATGGGTATCAAATGGAAGGTATTTTAAAGATCTCTAATTCAAAAATATTTTTAATAAGGTTGCCACCTATGTTGAATCGTATCTTTATTTAATTTTTTGTTTAGAGAAAAAGGTAAAATATTACTATTCATGGATACCAATGTTACCATACCATGTTCTTAAACAATGCTTTCCCTATATACAAAATGTTATCCCTTAGGATAATGGTGTAAGGTTGCCACTTATTTTCGACTCTACGCAATTTATTAATTAAAAATTTCAATACGGGTATCAAATGAAAGGCATTGTTGAGAACTTTTGTCAATAAATNACTTCTATGTAATTCAAATTTATACGAGTCTTCTTGAAGATAGTGTCTATTCAGATAATCTTAAAATCCAAAACATCTGTGTGAATTTTCAGCAAAATCGTTAGAGCCGTTCCGGCGAATCCTTTGGATATATGCAAGAATTGCTCGTTTTATGTAATACGACTAGTCTGTCTTTATAAAGACTTCAGAACATTCACATCCAATGCGTTGCTATTCTTTCGATACGAGTTTTGAATTCTCTTTGGCATCAGGCGAAAAAATACTAATAAAAAATTATATTTTGAGCCTACTTTAAATTATTTCCTCGTCCGTTTTCTGCTACTAAAGACACACCCATAGAATGATGGTTTTCTTCACTTGCCGTTGACCGATTATTTGCATGCTCCCGCATAAGAATTTGTCACAATTTCACAATTTCCTATCCACTTTCCACACAGATGCACACATTATAAATAAGTAGTAAAAGGTAATCAATAGAAAACAACTTGGAAGCCATAAGAATAACGCGTGTGCGCGTGAAAGTGACCCAAAAAAAAAAAAGGTACGAGGTTCAGTTCAATTTCCCTTAACAGAAAAATGTATTGAAATTGCAGATTCAGTTGGCGACAACTAAGCGGCGTAGTTGGAGTCTTTTCGCGACAATTAGTGGCCTGTCCAGGCTGCGAGTTTGTTGGGCGAAAACGGAATTATATAACGTTCAATAATCGGCGAAAAAGTGCTGGTAGAATTACCGAGCCCACAAAATGAAGCCCAAGAAAGGCGCATTTGCCAACTCCTCGTCGGGCTATGGCAAATCGCGGAATAGCTATCGCAATAATGCGGCTAAGCAGGAGGAGCCCGATGCCAAGCAAGAGGAGAAGTTGAATGCAGAGAAGGCAAAGGAGCTGCACTCGGAGAAGGATTTGAACTCCGGTTTTGGTGATTATATGCGCTCGCCGGAAGGTACTAGTAATATTCTGCTCTTGACACAAATACTTTTTACGAAATAAAGCGAAAGTTAAGAAGAGAAGAAGAAGAAAGTTGAAAAATATATAAAATATTTGTCGAAAAATTAAAACTAACAAAAAAAACATACTTACATATATTTAAAAGGCAAGTATTTTGTTACAAAGTGCAACTACAATAATACATACAAATGTTGAAGTAACTTTCATAATTAGTGTTTTATAAAATTAGTAGACTGAGCAAAAACAAAGTTAATTAAATTGAAAACACAGTGTGTGACGAAATTGAAAAAAAAAACAAAAAAATTTCCTAATGGGTCAATTTGCATGTGTAATTTTTACGACTATGCGCGTAAAGCAGAGAAAAATTCTATGTGTTATTCTAAGCAAGTTTACTGAAGAAACTATGGGTCTAAAATCTATTTGGAGCTTTCCAAATTGCGAAAATGGGTTTCTTAGCATTTTGTAAAAAAATATGCTATGCGAAGTTTTTTGGTATGAGGAATCTATTTCTGCACTTATCGTTTTCTTAAAACTTCCACCAGCGGGCGTAACATTGAAAATTTTCACATTTTCTTTGAAACCTATTTTTGCAATTTGACGAACTCCAAGTTGATTTTAGACCCATAGTTTCTTCGGCCAATTGGCGTAGAATACTCCAA